TCATTTCTGTTTGTAACACTTGACAAATTTTAGCAGTCCCTGGTGTCATAAAACAGATGGAAGCAATAAAATCATTTGGACTTCTGCTAGCACTGCTTACAACCTTCGGATTTTCGAATCTTTGACTGAAGGTCAGAAGAATGAAAGAATGGCTATTCAAGAGAAAGCTAGAGGGGTCCCTTCTTCAGTGCTAAAACCTTCCGTTAGAACTGCAAAAGCTTATTGCCCCTTCTATTTGAGTGAACAGACAGCTGCATCGTGGCTGAGATACAGAGCGCGATCTGTTTTGTGTGCGTTCGTAGTGAAATTGAATACGGTAGTTTTATTTGAAATTGTATATACATCAAGCAGGTAACAACAAAAAAGGTATGTACATCAAATTTTACAATATATTTTTAACATACCTATCTGCAGAATCTGCAATAAAATTACTGGATCGTGGATAAGTTTTGGCATAACTCATACGTATATTTTTATTTGCTGTTGTTCAGTTAGGTATTATTTTAATTCCTCTATTAGGGTTTTACTCAAGTTGGTCTGGTAATTACTACATTTAAAAATAAATATTTAGGAATGTGCATGCGCTTCTACTAGCGGCGTGTGCGCACGCTTCCACTAGCAGAGTTTAAATGCCTAACTGGACGAAACGGGGTACTTTGGCTATGACGACCTTACTCATGACTGGCACAAACTGGGCACTTTGGCACTTAAAGGTTAAAGAGCCCAAGCAGCACTGGGAGCATACAATGGACCCAGCAGAGTTCTGATCACTTATGACATTACTCATGGTTGTCACCCCATGTCAATAAAATACAATTATCGATCAAGATGTTACTCTTCATTGCAGATGTTAAAAAATTGGTTAATTTGTACTTCAAAAAATTTACAAAGTCTTTCAGGTTCTAAAAATCTAAATTATAAACATGAAGTTTGCCAATCTTTAGATAGTTTGTGCATCCTACAACTTTTCAAAACAGGCAGAAAATGAGAAATCTACAGTGGATTCTTTACAAGTTTGTCTGAGTCTCCCTCTAGGTCCTATTTCCCATTATCTTGAATGCTTCAATTATGTCTATCTTGCATCCTATCACTTGGAACATTGCCAATGTTGCAGAGAACCTTGTTTTGCAGGCGCTGCAATTTCACTAGATGGGTTTCTGCCGCAAACTCCCAGGCGGGACTAGCATAAGTCATTACAGATCTTATAAGAACTCTGTGGAGGGTCAGCTTAATGTTAGCGCTCAGTTGCTCACTTTTGAATAGGGAGTAAATTCTAATGAATGTACTGAAGGCCTTGGCTTCAATCATTTCTATGTGCAATCTCCATGTAACTCTCTCATCGAAGATTACACCTAGATATTTTGCACTATTTACAAATGGAATATTTCTTCCATTTAGAGTAAGACAAGACTCAGGCGGTAGACGACCACGAGAGAAGTAGACCCCCCGAGTCTTATCTTCATTAATTTTTATATTCCAGCACTCACACCAGGTCTCCATTGAGCTGAGACCACGCTGGAGTTTTCTAACAATAAAACTCTCCTTGCGATCTGTCGCATATAGACAGGTGTCGTCCGCAAAGAGGGCCAGATGAACACCATGATTTTGGGGGGCATCATTTATGTACAAGTTGAAAAGGGTACGGTAAAGGACAGAACCTTGTGGCACCCCTGCTTGCATTTCCTTGGCGTTGACATTTCGCCTTCACCAGAGACCTTGAATTTACGTTTAGATAGAAAGGACCCAATAAGCTTGGTCAAAGAGTTGGGGAATTCCAATTTTGATAACTTAAACAGCAAGCCTGAGTGCCACGTGGTATCAAAGGCTTTTTCGATGTCCAAGAACACTGCGGCCGTAGACATTTTATTGTTGAAATTAAGGGTCACGTGGTCCGACAGCCTCATACATTGCAATGTCGTGCTGTGACGTGCACGAAAACCAAACTGGCTTGCGTTGAGCAGGCTTCTTTCTTCAATATGTTTACGGAGGAATTTCAAAATTACTTTTTCGAATAGTTTTCCTGCCGTGGACAGGAGGCTGATCGGACGTAAATTTTGAGGGAATTTCGGGTCTTTACTGACTTTAGGTAAAGTTATTATTTTTGCTTCCTTCCAAGTATTTGGAAAATGAGAGAGCCGAAAACAATGGTTGAATAAATGAGTTAGGTGAACCAATGGTCGCCTTGGAAGGTGCCTGAGGCATTCGTTTGGGATGCCGTCAATTCCACAGGCCTTTTTTAATTTCAGGGATTTTATTAATTTCTGAACGTCACATGGTCTGATCCTTTGAGGGGAGTTGTCGTCTACGGTTTCCAGCAGTGCTTGAACTCTAGCCTCTACCCGATGTTCATGGTTTCCTTCGCACAGGTCATGTGGCATGACCTGAATTTCCAAACAGTCGGCAATTTCGTTGGTTTTTTCAGAAGGATGAAATTTAAGTCCAGAAGAACCATGAATAGCAGTTGGTGCCCTTGGTCCATCTCTCTTAAGGAGAGATTTCGCAATGGGCCATATACTCTGAGGTGTGACTTCAGCGTTACCTATTTTAGTTTCCCACCGTTCAAGTGCCTCTTTACGAGTCATTCGCCTGATTAATTTGGTGACCCAATTGACTGCCGTTTTACATGCTGGATCCCTTGTTTCTTGCCATAATTTTCGTAGCCTCTGCTGATATTTTATCAAATGATGGATAGGAAGATCGTTGTTTATGTCCGAAAGTGTAACTTTACTGGTCGACAACATACGCTATATGCCGAAGCAATAGAGGCTGCAAAGTTGCGTGCCGCTTTATCGGCTTCTACCCCCGACTTAATTTCTAGTTTAGGTGATATTAATTTAGATGCGAGGCTTTGAAACCGCTCCCAATCTGCAAATTTTTCAATAGGTTCCGAAAGATTCCTAATTCTAATGTGATCCAGTGTGTGGAATATTATTGGTAGGTGATTCTGGATCCAAAATATCAGAGACATCTGACACTCTGATATTTTGGTGGACCACAATGTCCAGCATGTCACCATTTCCCACAGGGGAATAATGAGTGGGCACTGTGGTGCTGAAATTTCGAAGTTCTGTTATCGATGATGGAGGTGGATAGCACGCATGCAGATTGCTCTCCAAAACAGACCACAAAGGCTCAATAATATTGATATCTGGTGATTGTGGGGGCCATGGCAGACGTGACACTTCATCTTCATTCTCAGAAAACCAGTCCTGGACGATGTGAGCTGTGTGAACACGGGCATTGTCATCTTGGTAAATGGCATCACCATTAGGGAACAAAGTTTGCACTATGGGATGGACCTGGTTGCCCAAAAATGGTCACATAGTCGTGTGGCAGTGACCTTGCAGGGTAATGATGGGTCCAACAGAATACCACGATATGGCTGCCCATACCATGATCGAACCCCCGCCATGTTTCACTCTTGCCAGCAAACAATCTGGATCGTAAGCTTGGGATGGCATTCTCCAGATGTAAACTCGGCCAGAAGTCAGAAACAGTGTGAAGGTGGACTCATCCGACCAAATGACCGTCTTCCATTGCTCCATAGTCCAGGTTTTATGACTTCACCACCACACTGTCCTCTTAGTGGCATTTTGATCACTGAAGAGTGGCTTTGGAATTGCAGCTCGTCCAGAAACACCCTGCTTGTGGAGTTCCCTTCATACTGTTTTGGTGCTGACAGGGTTTGTGAGCATGACATTCAGTTCGGCAGTCACTTTTCCAGCTGTAGTCTTCTTATTTTTCGTCACAATCCTATGCAATGTTCATCTGTCTCAATCACTGAACATACATTTCCGTCCACGCTGGTGTTTATCAGATTCGGTTTTTTCAGTCCTCCTGCATGCGGTCACAATCTTGGATACTGTGCCTCGCGAAACACCAAAAACCTCGGCTACCTTGGTTACGGAAGCACCCACCATATGGGCCCCAACAATTTTCCCGTGTTCGAATTCTGTTAGCTCTGACATGATGCACGAAAAATTGAACAGAACACTGTCTTGACAACAAATGAAGCTTGCAACATATTGCGGACGTTGTACAGGTAGTGGTGTTGGGCAGATATGACAGTGTGACCTACAAAAGCCCTTGGCGGGAGACCAGCTGTGACACCACCCAACATGGAACTACAGTACCAGTGGATCAAGACAATGGCAATGAATCGCTCCAGACCTGTTAGATGGATGATTTAAAAGTACTCTCTATCTGATGAAATGGATGGGAGAATAAGAAAGAAGTTAGGAGTGTTGGAAGTTAACATGAGAATGTGACTAGTGAATGTAAGAAGATGGGAACTGTGAAGACACTGAAGCTAAGAAAAGCAATAGGAATGCTAAACAAAGACTGGTAATGCTGAACAAAGGCTGGTGACTTCAAGAAAGATATTAACTCAGCAAATGCAATGTGTAACATGTTTTCTAATTATTTTTATTCTTTTGCATGTTTGTAGTAACAATATGGAACTAATTTATGAAATTCCTTATTCTGTGCAGAATAGTGCAGGACTCATCTTCCATTCGAGGTAAATACTGTAACACAAAAAAAATTGCTAGTGCTATGAATTATTATTGTGAAACAAATGGCTCCGCTAGAAAAATTCTTGTCCTCCACTCCGTTCTCATCTGAACCGCCTCTTGAACAGAAAGTCATTCTCTCACATGCCTAGTAGCAATGCATGCAAATTCAGAGCAGATGATAGACTAATCCAGAGAGAAGGAAAAAATCATAGCATATTTTAACGTGCTATCACAGTGTTTTTCCCAAATGACAGAATTAGATCTGCAACAGGATGCTAAAATACAACATTATGAAAACCTCTACTGGGAGAGCTGAAGTCTAATTCAGATCCAATGTGGAAAACTTATACATTATGAGTTACATGCCTTAAAATGTCAAAAAGTGGTTTAATTTTTTTGGTTAAAATGTTTAAGATGTCACAAGTACTCTTGAGCAAAATCAAAACCTTCCTGACATGTACAGACATATTGGGAATAAGACACATATGCCAATATATGGAATGAACTTTATTATAAGACAGTGGTACAAACATGCCATACTAATTTAACTGACAAACACATTTTGTGATTAGTTGTAAATGTGTTAAGTAGTAAAGTAGAGTTTCCCAGATGGTTTTACATGATATTCAATATGAGATGAGCAAGTTTGTAGTGCTGGGTCTGAAGAAACACTCAGCAGACAAATAAAATAACAAAACTTGCAGCAACACACTGTAATAAAGAAAGTATAACTCAGAGCACGACATTCTTGAACACATACACAGCTTCATTGTCACACCCACACACAACCCTATTCTTGCTGACATCAAGCGAGTTGATAGGCTTGTGTAGCTGAGGCATCAGTGTGAACACTTCCAGCCGGTGCTTAGCCACATCACTGTTCAACCACAAGTTCTCATCCCTGGGGAACTCTGAAAGCAGAAACACTTGTGGCACAACTGGGAATCCAAATCAGCACAAAATGTAGCAACTGTGTTCTCTGAAATATACCTGAAGGCATGGTCCCAAGGTGTGCAGAGCGTGACATGGAACTGGTATTCCAATGCCATATCTCCCCACTGGTTGAACAGGTGAAGAGGTGTTCTGGGCGGTCAGGATGGAACTGCAGTTCACTCACTGCAATATGAGAGACAGTAATTTTCAAAATTCTGCACTATGAGAATTTTGAGATTACACTGGACAACTGATATTCATACTCAAGTCTAAGCTCTTCTATTTCAATGCCATAATTAGAGGTTTTCTAAATTTTGAAGTGGGCACCAACTGAAAAACATCACGTGATATACATTTCTCAGTAGCTAAAACTTGGAAAGGGTAAGCTGCTCACAGTTAAATTCTGGAATGTTATTTTTTATTTGTTTCATTCTGGTCCATCATACTAATAATATCATGAAAAGTTGAACAGTTCTGTCTGCTGTGACTGGTGAAGATTTTTCTTATTGCAATTAATTATGCCCTTAGATGTTTGTCTTTTAGAGACCATCATCAGAGGGACACCTTTACATCAATACATGTTCTAAAAGTTAAAATGTATACATACAATATTAATAATATACAATTTGGTATAAAATCTGAAGTCTTTACAACTACAGCAGCTGTTCCAATACTCTAAAATATTTATAAATGGTTTGTGAAGACACTATTGGAATTTGTACAAAAGCAGGTTCGTGTCGTCCCTCTTACTATTTCTTTTGACAGGGGCCAAATGTGTGCCGCCTTGTCGTTCTTGAGAAGAGGGGTCTTTGATGCTGTCCTCTGTGTGTTTGCCTGTGTCATAACAAACCAAAATGTATATTATTAATATTGTTTGTACACATTTTAACTTTTAGAGCATGTATTGTAATAGTGGTTTCTAACTGTATTGATGTAAAGGTGTCCCTCTGATGATGGTCTCTGAAGACCGAAACATGTAAGGGCATAAATAATTGAAATAAGAAAAATATTCACCAGTCACATTAGACAGAACAGTTTAACTTTTCTGGAATATTAACTTTCTCCTGCAATAGGGTAGGACAGAGAGAGTGCATTAACAAGAACTTTAAGGCAGCCTCCTCTGTTGTTCTCTTTAGTCCGCAAGTGAACTATACCGATCAAGCGACCGCTGCTTGTTGGCAAAGTTAGTGCCAACTTTAGCAGATACAGGGTGTTGCATGGTCAGCACAAAAAATCCCCATGGCCCTTAGTTTCGAACTTTATGGGATGCAAGCCAAAACTTTAATGCAAAGAGTTATGGGAAATCAGTGGTGGCTATTTGGAAATCCCTTGTCATGATGAATGTGCCAGAAAACGCCCCTCTCTCTATGTCATGGTTTTCCATATGTACAAAAGTAAGAAACTGCCAGTTCCAGTGGTGTCCATCACTAAAATCAAATCCTTGATATAAACCATGCTCCTTCTACAAGATTCACTGTATTGAAAAACACACTTCACTTATGTTTCTACAGGGGAAAAGGGTCAACATAAGAACAATGTTATATTAAAATTCTAGTCTCATAAATCAAATTTGCATATCAAAACACAAGTATCCAAATATAAATGAGACACTTGCCAAATTAACAATGTCACATGAGAGTGGAATAGCTCCATAAGCAGGACTGGCAACAGCCAATTAATAACGTAAAAAGTAAAAAAAGCTATCCCTGTAACAGACCGTGGAGGCCTGTTACAGGAAGATTGCTGGTAATCATTTCTATTAGAGGCTGAGTTGACCCCAGGGCCATAGTGTGACTGCAAGGATTAGGGAAATTGAAAAAATTCACTTCATCAGGACTCGAATCGGCGAACTTCCAGCTTATAGCATAGTGCCTCAACCAGCTACACTACCACATGCCCTCTAACAGCCAATTAATATGATCTGAAATGTGCTTCATAAGATAGGCAGCATAAAACTACTGAAATGATAACAGAATTAAAAAGTTCACAAATCATTTATTTTATACATTACAGAATAAATTGGAAACAATGTGTTGGAAAAACATACAGTACTACAAAAGTTATGAAATATCAACCCAGAAAAACATACTTCAGATTTCTGTGAAAAGATTCTGTTTCATTATCCTCATGGCTGATGAACTGTGAAGGATTACGACTAATTTTTTAATATGGCACAATTTCATTTTTATAGCATCAGTACCTGCGTCAGAATGGGCGCTGAGAAGTGTGACAGGAAATGTATGATGGCGCAGGTCCCATACCGTGAGTGAGCCATCCTCTCCCCCTGCCAACACCATGTGACGCTGTGTTGGATGATGTGTCACACAGCTGGCTCCGGTCTACAAAAGAACCACAGACTATAAATGTGGGAGTCTATAGGTGCCCAGTTTGAAACCCCTGTGGTATCTACTGCACACTTTTCTCTACATTATTTAAAGCATTCACCTCTGCCAAAGTTTGGACTTTGTAAATACCAGATCTTTCTGTGGTTTCAAATCAACATGAAATTGTAGTGGGCATTTCTGCTGGCCACTGTCCTGTCATGTGCCTCTTGAGCACTCACACCTGATAAATTGACTTTTTCACCTTGCCAGGTGAGCAAAGCATTTTTGTGTCATTCATTCATTCATTCATTCAGGTGCAAACATATGAGGGAAATTAAAAACTTATAGATAACTGTAGTATACTTCAAAAGTGATATTGGTAGCATTGAAAAAGAGGGTCAGATATAAACAATGTGAACCTTCTTTCACCTGAACCTAACTGATTTCCATTATCTTTCAAGAACTGATGATAGGATGACATAACTAATGGCTGCTCCATTGACAACATGCACCAATGAGGAACAACATTCTGATCTGGTTTTGAGATCAGATGATGTGAAAGTTAATGAATATTGTAAAAGAATAACAGTTCAGCATTGCAACAACTGTACAAACCTAAGGTAACCTTACAGAGAAATGAAAAGATTAAAAGGTAAGTGGACTAGTGCTGATTTTGCAAGTAGCCATTAACTGTAACATATACTGACATTAAGGGGCAGGTCAAGCAGTGTATCAGGGAGAACTGAAGAATGAGCACTGATGAAACTGCAACTAAAATGAGAATCGTTCATGGGCAGCAGTGTAAAAGTGACTTAAGGCCCATCTGAACAAGAAAAACTTATGGAACTGAAACTGAAGACTATCATATCAAACCGATTAACACTTGGCAGACCAGCAATTTAAATATTTAAATCACCCTGGGGACAAGCATTTTTAAACCTACTACCCTAACTTGTGCACTGTTCGCTTTAAAAATTAATACAAAATCTCCTAATTAATTATATGAACTAAAATTTTTGGAGAACACTTACCAATGCTTCTAGAAGTGCCTGAGAGTGTGATATTTCTGGAAACATTCCCCTCTGTGAAGTAGCATTACACAGAACTTGCAATGTAGACAGTCATACTCTTTTTTTGTGAACTGTGCAAACACAGCACTGCCTAGAAGGATGCTTCCCCTTGGACTGTTCACTCTTCACTATTTTCATGAGGGTATGTTTCCGCACATCACCTGAGAGTCGCCCTGGGGTGTCCACACGAGGATTGTGTGGGGTGGGAGTTGATGGGCCCAGTGACACTAAGTCTGTGCCTGACTGGTTCTGCCACCACCGTCTGGTCTGTAGCCCAGGCCTTTGCCACATTCATCAGAAATGCTTTCTATTTCAATTTCAAATCAGGGTTTAGATTTTTGTAAACCAAAAATGAATTGAAAATGGCACAATTTATAAGCCACAAGACAACTTTCTTTGTCCACTTTATTATTTTCCTAGGAAGAGAATAATAGGCCAAGTATTGATCAGCTCTATCAACTCCCTTTATGAACATATTATACTCAGAAACACAAATAGGCTTCTTTACTTGTCCATGTCTACTCTGAACATCAACCATGCTCAAATTGTAAATTGTGGAAATCATATTCACAACATGAGTATTCCTGCCTCCAAAAAACAGTTCTGCTATTTCAGACACTTGCATTGGGTCCGATGGAATTTGCTTCACCCCTGGATTTCCAGTAAACTGTCCCAAAGCAGGCATTTTTGTCTACTTTTCCCCATGTGGCTGTCCCTGCAATGTTGCTACCCGCACTTTCGCTGTCTGTAGCCACAATTTTTTGTTCACCCCTGCCACACTCACTATCAGATTGTGAGTCGCTATCACTAGCAGACCCACAAGGAACGTCAGATAGCTCATCGGAGAACAAGTCAGATATTTCTTGTTCCCCGAGAAAACGCTTGGCCTAGTAACTTCCTGCCTGGTGCATGCAGCTGGAAGATGAACAAAGGCATTTTCCTTTGGGGTGGGAAAGGAAAACAGTTGGGTCATAAACAGTGGGGTCATGTTACTGACTACGAAGCAAACATTCAAGAGGTCTATCACGCACCAGTCATGTGTCTGCCTGGCGCCAGTGCAAGATATAGTGTGTTTCAACATAATACGTCCTAAAATCATAATAATATGCCACCGGTCCACAAAGTGTTAATTATGGTACACAAAACTTAAATACATTTAATTATTTCAGGAAAATTTTGTCCAAACTTATCATTTAATTGCCTCTAATTTGGTTACTTACTTTAGTATATATAAATCACGTAACTTTTATCACTACAAGATCTACAAACCCCTCCCAAGTGATTGGTCAGAAAGCCAGGGTTAGAATTACAACTGTGATAACATTCTGGTCCATGCAGTAGCAGAAGTATGAGAATGCTGTATTTGTGGAACTGCATCCACCGCATATCCCTGGTTTACTTGATGTATCAACTGCAGTGGTTATACAGGAACAGAAGTGTGCAACAGTATGTAGCATCAGCATGCTCCTTTTAAGCAAGGTACCTCATAGATGAGCTTAAGGCATCTGTTTTTCTTCAGTACCTCCACCATCCCCCCTGCCAAACGTAAAGCATTCAGCAGTATAATTTAAAATAATAATTTGTGAAGAATGTGGAACAGGTTATGGCTTACTTTAAGATACATTTGTCTAGAGAGACTGAAGAAAACCATGGAAAAATTCTCAAATCAAACAGCAAGTCTCTAGGATGAGATTAGAAAATAGAACCTTCCAAACTGAAAGTGCTACAAAATTACTCCACAGCATTCAGCATCCCACATGGACTGAACCCAAGCTTTTAAGCTTTTAAGCTAATGTCAAGCCATGTAAGCTGCAGGATGGATTTAATAAAGAGAACAGGATATCAACACAATGCAAGTTCATGTAATTTGCATATTTCATATTTGCATTCAGATGATACCCAGTTCAGATTTCAGATGGTTACTGGTTATCCTAATAGGCATTTCATGTCATTAGTCTCCCCAGTCAAATGCGAGGAAAGTGCCTTGAAGTAGGCCATGATCACCCCCTTATCCATTCATCTATCATGATTTTCTACCAGAATATTGTTATGGAACCTAAGAATCAGTCAGGAATATCAATTACACCTTGAGCACAGTACAACTGTCTGTTCACCAACATGCACAATTACACAGACCTGTTCCCCAGACAACATAAAGGTAGAGGCAGGTTTGTTAACTGCATTCTTGAGATCCCACACCTTCATCTGTCCCCTCAGGTTTCCAGTCAACACTTCATTGTGTTTCAGGAAGCATACACAGCGCAGAGAGCAACTGTCAGCACCTTCTGTGGACAAAATAATGCAACATCTCAAAAGAAGAAGAAGAAGAAGAATATAAATACAAGGCCCAGGACAGTGAACTCACCAATCCTTCGAACAGGCATCTTCTGTCTTGCTGTGAGCAGACACAGGCATCCATCCTCGCCCACTGACACAATATCTTCCTCAAAGACGGCCAGTCCTGTGCAGGGAATGTGGCCTCCAACGCTGAAACATGCACTAACACTCATGCAGACACATCCTTGGGTTGATCGTAAATGCATCATCAGAACTGAAGACTTGATCAGGAATAATCAAAATTTTAGACTACATAAAGAACAGGGTTACCATGTTAACATACTGCAGAGACATACAAGTTCATAAACAAATACAGACCAACTGGAACAAGAAATGATGGACAACTTCTCAAGAGGTAACTGCAAAAATGCAGCTACAGGGGGTCAATAGGTTGGCCAGTTCCCTAGCTGATGATGAAAGTTACTCTATACTTGTCAGACTGTGACAAAAGTTTCAGAACTCCTGGTTCTGGAATGACTGTAGAGGTTCTAGCACTTCTACCATATGTTACAAGCTACAGCATTCTAGTGTACCTGAGAAAGTGAATATCATCCCATGACATCACCTCCTTGAGTGCAGCCAAGCATGGCTCCTTCCCATCAATCTTCAACAGTTTTACTGACCCCACTGTTGAGGAAACAACAAACATGTTGCTGTTGATGAACTGGAAGAGACAGGTACCCCATAAGTTACAAGCAATCAATACCGAATGGCTATATATTAGGGCTCCAATATATCTGACCTTGAAAGATTAAAAATTTGCCACAACATAATATAATTTTTATAACCAGTTTTAAAATGTTAAATTTGATGTTATAAGGTGGTGCTTATCAAGAGTTCTGTCTTCTGAGACATAATTCCAAAGTACACAACATTATATCCCAGAAGATATAACTCTCTTACTTTCAAAAAATTCAGCACTTCCTAAGTGACACTTATTCAATGTCATTGCAAGTTTGTAAAACTTCATTATAACATGCTGTGAGTGAGTGAGTGAATGAGTTTATGAGTGAAATGGATTTAGAAGTGTGTCAGACCGATGGCTGTACATGTCTAATGTGATGTGACATGATATGGGCCACACACTCTGTTGTGTACCTCTTAAAGTGGTGGGAGTAACTGGAGTAAAACAGAAAGAACTTACAGCATAAAAAGTAAGATTAAGGAAAAGTATAAAGTAAAAAGAAAAATATTATGACTACATTTAAACTTAGAGCATGTGAAAAAAGAATTATGGCCGATTCAGTATATTTGACCGTATAAAAATTCACAACCAAAAGATTCAGTTTTCTATCTTAATTTGATGTCAAAACATTACAAACGGTTGTGAGATTTATCAACTGAAAACACATTACGATAACTGGTTGAATGGCGTGAAACTGCTCCAATATGATTTCCTAAGAAGCACCTTAAGTTCGGTGATGTCACCGTCATAAGGGTGAGTACCAATGGTACACGGATAGATGTCTGCATCGTCTTCATTTGGTGGGTATAGCCACAGAACAAGATGATTTGTCTGAAAGTTGGAAAAGTTGATATTCAGGCCAAAGTACTGCATTCCTACTCATATCCTAGGTTAGGTTTTAGAGGAATAACTTGTCTCTGTAAGCTTTCAACCAATGAAGCCGAATATGTTCGGACTTAAATAATAAATTCACATGTTTAGAAATACTACACTGAAACTGTTTAATGCACTTTTCTATCCAGTTATTTCAACCGAGCTAAGGATGTAATATTGCTTACTTCATTATCCCAACTTCCAGTCAGAAATATATCTGACTCAACAAGATCTTCTGGTTTCCACCTCACTTTACTGACTTTTTCACCAACGAACACCCCATGCACTTTATCCTCCATTCTCCTTCATTTAGTGTTCCCAAATAATTTTAAAAACGCATACCGCTAACCTTACGAAACTCACGTAAATAACAGTTAATGCCAGACACATTTGTAGCAACTGATACTGGAATTTGTAGCGTCCAGAGCACTAGAGACATCTACGCGCAGGATTGTTGAGCTATTCGAAGCTCAAGTGATTCCAATTATTCCGGAAAGATGGCGGGTAATCGCCATTTCCCTAATTTTATAATTGATTATTAATTTTATGTAATTTCCAATTAACTTGTGTGCAATATTGAAAACATTAATTACACTTAATACTACAAAACGTATGTACGTGGCACTGTAACTTCCTTTGATTCTCTATTCTTATTCAGCTTCTTCGAGACATTCAGTACTTCTTATAAAGGGTTTTTTTTCCTTGGCACTACAGCCCCGGTGGGAGTAGGCCTACCTCCATGAACTTCTCCGTTCACTTCGGTTTTTCTAGATCTTACACATTCGGTAGGACTCCTTGGGCGGGTAATCAGCTCGTCGCAAGACCTCTGCCTGTACACAAACACAGAAAAACGCACACATACAAACTAAACATCCATGCCCTGAGTGGGATTCCAACCTACGATCCTGGTTTCCAAGCGAGCGAAGACAGTACATGCCCTTATAAAGGTTTATATATGTATAATTCCAGACTGAGTGTGTTTGAGAACAGGGTGTTGAGAATATTTTGACCGAAGAGAGATGAAGTGACAGGAGGTTGGACAAAACTCATAATGAGGAGCTTCATAACTTGTACTCTTCTCCAAGTATAATTAGAATAATCAAGTGAAGGAGGATGAGGTGGGCAGGTCATTTAGCATGAATGGGGGAAATGAGGAATGCTTATAGGATCTTATAGGATATTGGTGGGAAAGCCCGAAGGAAAGAGACCACAGGGGAGACCAAGGCGTAGGTGGGTGGACAATATTAGAATGGGTCTTAGAGAGATAGGATGGTACGGATTGGATAGATCTGGCTCAGGATAGGGACCAGTGGAGGGCTCTTGTGAACACGGTAATGAACCTTCGGGTTTCATAAAATGCTGGGAAATTCTTGAGTAGCTGCAGAATTGGCGGCTCCTCCAGAAGGGCTCAGCTCCATGAGTAAGTAGGTAAGTAATATGTATAATTCCACTGTCAGTTTTGCACAGGGGATGACAACTGGGTCGGGAGAAGGGGCAACACGGTAACTACTGCCTCTATGTGTGGTGGCAGATACTACACTAAGATCTCGACCAATCAGAGAGCCTACACAAACCATTTTGAATTCCCGCAATTATATGCGGTTATGGTGGCTTATTATATGCAAATTGGTAAGTATGAATTTAATTTAATGTGGTTGCGAAACGAAAGTAGACGTTTGAGAGCGAAGTTACATTTCCATGTTAAACATATTATTTGTGTATATAAATTTTATGCTTACTACCACAAATGAAATTAGAAATATATAGAATTCTTTCAAGCCCAGAATTTTTTAGGTTATGATGAACTGTCATCTAAACGGTATTTGTTTTATGATATGTTCTTCAAATTTCGGTTTAACCCAAAGATTGTCTATAAAATGCGAAGGAGTTTTGAGAGTACTGTGATGGTGTTATAATTTATGTATTGCTTCTTGCAGCATAGACATGAAAACGAAAACATGTATTGCTGCTGGTTGCTTCTTATACAGCAGGCAAGGAATGAAATACTTCAACCTTCCAAAGGATCCAGCACGGTATGTCTGTTTTAATTCATGATGTAATTACTTTATTATGTGTTGCTTAATCCAATGAATAAATTAAATTTAGTATATATCTGTGTTCAATTTATTCAACATAAACCAAAAATTTAGAATGTGTACCAAGTTTGTAATGTTTACTGAAGAATTGTTTCTAGGTTTTGAGATTATTTGTTCTAATTTTACAGGGCTGTGGTATGGGCAGGATATGTTGGAATTATCTTGCACTATTGATTCTGCTAGAATGCTGCACAATAAATATTTGTGCAGCAAACACTGGAAAGTGATTTCACTACAGCTGAAAGGGTACACCTGAACAGAGTTGCAGTTCCATGTGGCTCAGATTCTGCTTCATAGTCACTCCCACAACTTCCTGTCCCTTCCTTGAATCCCTTGCCTCACAAAACACTGTACTCATGTTGTATTTCCCATCACCTCTAAGACACTGGTGCCATTCCCTGTAACACATATTCCTATCCATGCACAGGGTTCTTCCACTTCCTTTAAAATGTTTGCAGTGCAACCATTACCAACAGCAGTCACCAACTTTGCAGTGACAGAAACTTCGTTTCTCCTAAGCCCTGTAAATATAATTGCTTCTGATGGGGAACTCAGGCAATCTTTGCAGCAAGCCATAACATTATCGGCTACAGGTAAGGACAGTGCACTCCATACTATGAATTATGATCTTCGTATCAGTTAATACCGCCATCAATAATTTTACATACTATGTCGCAAAGGTTTGTATCACTCCTGTAGTTTTAGGAACCCTGACTCTGATATCTGGGGTCATGCCCTCTACTAAAATCTATAGCCTGTCAAAAGGTTTACCTACTTCCACTTAAAAATGTTATATCTACACCTGCCATTTTCATAAATCAGTGAAGTCCTGGAATATTTCGTCTGGAATCTATCCTTCAACCAATGTTTGTGTAACTTGATATTCTGAGGGGTTCATGTATCGAGACATTGGGCAGCAACTTTAGTTTATATTAGTTTTTAAGAAAAAAGAGACGAGTTGAAGAGTGCATTTTGTCAGGATTGTTGCACGCAGAAGGCTGGGCAGACTTACGTGCGCCAGCGCTTGTATGTAATATACACACTGTTCAATAAATCCTCTATATTCTGTAGTGAGCATTTGCTCTTTATGGTTGGAATACACGCTCAGGCAGCCAACTGACAATCATCATCACTGAATTATTAAGCTACCGCTGGGCCAACGTAATTCATTCGACCCACCAACATCACGACAGAAAGGAAACATGTTGGTATCATGTGTGGGGCTGCAAATCTGCAAAGCGACTTGATCTGAAATGTGCGGTATCAAGAATTTCGTATCTCTGTTAGGCAAGGCAGGTTTCATACAGGGGCTAGCGAATGAACGGATACAGACCTAGTTGGTGCTATGAACCTTACACACATTACAGAAGCCGCTGAAATAGGTACTGAGGAAGAACGAGCATTACTTTCTGCTAAAGAAAAGTCATATAGCATATCTCAGTACAATGACCGAAGGAAAGATGTACGTTGCAGTAACTGCCAACGTTTCGTCATAGGGAATCACGATTCTTCCTGACTGGCAAGTTGAATGAAGTAAAAGTGGCAGTTCCTGCAGAGAAAGTTTGTAATTTTTGTAATATACCTGGTCATGTAGCATATACATATTGGAAAAGAAAAAGGCGACAAGGAAACTTTCAGGAAATGAAAACCTCGGTGTCAGAGAACGGGTAGATGGGAAGTGTGCGATAGTAGCGGGCAACAAACGGAAGGTTTTTGCCTAGACAAACAGTTGCCGTGCAATTCCAGACACTTAGATTCAGATATGTATGTTAATTTAGCCAAACCACGATCACGGTCGGCCGTTGGTTGTGATCCGCTCTGTCGAAGGTCGACTGAGGGCCGGAATGAGGAGCTCGTCCTCTAGGCTGTGAGTGGCAACAATGCCGATCAGAATGTCAGTAGGTTACACGAAAAGAAGCGGAAATTTGTAGACGTTAGAGATTCCGCCAGCACTGAGACTGCATGTGGTAAAATCAGAACATCGAATGGAGTTTCCAACTCAGAATATGACGATCTACAGGTCGACACAACCTTATGCTAATTGCGCGCGAAGAGTAATAGCGAATGAGTTTGCGCCACAGGGTGTGAGGCAAACCATGATGATAGTATTCTCATTGCCGTGGAGGGCATAGATGAACCATTAAAGATGTTAGTCGACACGGGGGTACAAATATCCGTGATAAAGCGAGGGGTGATACCAGATAATCGTCCCATTCGTACCGATGAGCAATATGAAATTGTCGGAATTACATCGGGTTCGATTAACACACTTGGAAGCGTGAACTTAACCCTCTATGATCGTACGTATAAATTTCAGATAGCGCCTGAGGAAATACAATTGGCAGAAGATGGCTTAATATGTCGAGATATCCTAAAGGATTCGGTAATCCACAACAGGAAAGGATATGAATATTAACGGTCATCGTTATAACTTTGTTCTGAGAAATGACGAGCCTATCATTTTGAAACCGCGAACGGAGACGATCGCAGTAGTTACGGTTGACTTAGATAACGGACTAGGAGTTGTGGATAAACTAGAAATTTATCCCGGTGTGTACATAGCCAGTTACTTGTCTCAGGTTAACAGCAATAAGGCTGGAGTGAGCATTCTGAATTCCACAGAGGAACCCATGGAGGTAAGTAATTTGACGCTCACCGCCACGAAGTGGAGTGAACAAATCAGTGTACGGAAAATAAATTCCCAAATTCATGATAATAACAACGAAAGTGTTATCTCGCAAGAAACGGGTCAGAGAACTCATTAGGACAGACCACATTACAGAGAGTAGCAAAAAATCTATTCTGGAAATCTGTGAGGACTTCCATGGCATCTTTTACCTGGAAGGGCATAAACTGTCGCACACTGACCTAGTTAAACACTCAATTCCCACTCCAGCCTTGGATGTAAACAGAGCGATAAACGTTCGACCTTACGGATTACCAGAAGCTCACAAGTTACTGGATGACGGAATAATAGCGCCCTCCAGAAGCCCTTTCAATAGCCCACTGCTGTTGGCACCGAAAAAGACAGAAGCCTCAGGAAAGGTAAAATGGCGAGTAGTGAGTGTTTCGGGAAGCTGTATGAATGGATCGTCGGAGATGCTTACCCTCTGCTGAACATCACCGATATTTTGGATCAGCTGCTTAAAGCAAAGTTTTTTTCGACGGTTGACCTTACCTCGGGATATTATCAGGTTGAACTAACAGAGAAGGATGGGGACCGGGTTCGATCCCGGGTCTGGTCAACTGGGATTTGTGGTGGACAAAGTGGAGCTGGGGCAGGTTTTCTCCGAGTACTTCGGTTCCCCTTCCAATCTTCATTCCATCAATTGCTCCACAATCACCCTCACCTATCATCTGGGGCTGGTACAATAGTCCAGAAGTGGCCGGAGTACAAGGGACTTAGTCCCACTCCACTAGCAATAGCGAAAAACACGACCGCGCGAAAACTGCTTTTAGTACACTCGCCGGTCATTTTGAATTTCTTCTTCTTCCCATGGGCCTGAAATCCGCGCCGTCTACATTTCAGTCTCTTATGAATTCCGTACTCGCAAGAATGAACGAGTTACGATGTTTTTGTTATAAGAATGATGTTATTATTACAGCAGATTTGCTGGAATCTCACAGTGAGAGGGTGAGGGAATTATTTCAGAGATTCCGCGAAAGCAAGTTGAAGACAGCCATTCAAATGTGAGTTCTTAAGAACCAACGTTCAATTCCTTGGTCACGTCGCCACTGACGAGGGGCTAAGGCCGGACCCTAGAAAGACGGAAGCAGTGTGTATTACAGACGTTTCATTCACAACTACAGTAAGGTGGAAAAACTTCTGTATAAATTACTGAAGAAGGACGCGGTATACGACTGAAAGGAACCATAGCAGAACGCCTTCCAGACTCTGAAAGTGCTGTTAGTTAAGGCTCCTGTCTTACAATATCCGGATTTTTCGCGACCATTTATTATTACCACCGATGCTTCAGACGATGCCGCCGGTTGTTTACTGAGCCAGGGGGAAATAGGAAGAGACCTCCCGATAGCATATGCTAGCAGGACGTTTAATAAGTCAGAAAGAAATTATAGCACAACAGACCGGGAAATGGCCGCCATTATGTGAGCTGTAAAACAGTTTCAACCCTATGTACTAGGGAGACATTTCAAAATTGTAACTGACCACAAGCCCCTTAAATGGGTGTTCAGTGTTAATGACCCTAGCTCACGGTTATTAAGATGGCGACTTAAATTGGAAGAATATGACTTCACGATGCATTACCGGTCAGGTAAAACAATATCGCATGCCGACTTCTTGTCTCGCATACACAAAGGAGATGCTAGTGAGGGCGGTGACAAGGAAGAAGGATCGAGGGGTCAGGAGTTGGCGGGGACCGCTACCAAAGGAAAGAACGAGACAGTCGGGTTCCGAAGATCCTGGAAACTTTAGCGAACTTTCGGAATCCGAGTAAACGAGTATTATAAGAGAGTATCATGCATCTCTTATATTTGGGCACACAGGAATCTCAAGAACTTATGAACGGTTGAAACCCTACGTAACTTGGCCCAATATGAGAAGGGACATGGAAAATTACGTAAGGAAACGTGCAATGTGCCAGAGGAATAAGCACACAGTTCCATACACGAAGATGACAATGGAGGTGACTGACAATCCGCAGGCCCCTTTTGAAAAGATTAGTTTGGACTGCATGGGACCCCTCCTTTAGCGGATCAAGGAAACAAGTACATTGTCACATGCTAGGACCAACTATCCAAATACGTGGTGGCCATTGCGCTTCCAAATCAAGAAGCCGTGACGATAGCGAGAGCGCTAGTCGACAATGTAATCACTGTGTTCGGATCGCCGGGTTCGATTCTCACAGACTGCGCCTCGAATTTCACTAGAGAAGTAATGCGGCACTTATGCAAACTCTTATGAATTTCGAGAATTAACACAACTCCATTTAAGCCCCAGAGCAATGGCAGTGTCGAAAGATCGCACGCAGTAATTACATAATATTTGCGTCATTTTATATGCCACGAGCAGAATGATTGGGATACACTGTTGTCAACGGTAGCATTCGTTTACAATACGACTCCATACGAGCACTAAATACTGTCCATTCGAGTTGGTTTACGGGAAAAAGCCTTCGATGCCAGGACTGCTACAACGCCGCCCCAGTTGCCCTAGCTACGACGAGAAAGAAGACTTCGTGAGCAGCCTAAAGGAGAGGCTGCGATACAGCCATGAGGTAGCGCGGAAGGCGCTAATAAAATAAAAGGAAGTGTCTAAAAGATATTATGACGAGAAGGAAAATACCGTTACGTTCCGCGAAGATGATCTTGTACTTCTGCTACAGCAACATGTCAGACGAGGTCGCTCTAAGAAACTCTCTTCCCCGTGGATAGCACCGTACACCGTGGTCGAAGTCACAGGCGTAAATTGCGTATTACGCTCAGGTACAAAAAGACGAACCTTCAAAGTGCACAGCAACAGACTGAAGCTTTACATTTAATTCCAGCTCAACATGCGAGTCGAGACGTTGGTTTTGAGCGCGACGTGCGTCACCGTCCTCTTCGCAGTCAGGAACTGTGAGGACACGCCCGGACTGTACTGTGATCACATCGATGAGGTTCAACTATACACTTCAGATTGGAAGCTTGTAACACATGTAAACATATCGAAATTGGAGACGACTTACAATACGCTTGTAGATTTTGTCTCGCAGACTAGAGCAATGTGTAAGGAATCGCCACCTGAAGCCATTTCTACCTGTCAGTCGGACCTGTCCCTGATGAAGCAGAGCGTATCGATAATTCATAGAACTCGACGCATAATTTCTGGGATTACTAAGGATAAAGAGGAGGAGGTATTTAATTTCGAGAATATTGTGGGATTGTCGATGTTGTAAATGACAACCACGTAGAACTGTAACAATTGTGTATATTAAATTGTATAAATTGAATGTACAGAATAGCTGCGAAGCTATGTGGAATGTTCAAAAGTTGGAAGGCCTTCAATAGGGCAGTTTGTTCCACCGCGAGTGCGCTGACAGATTTGCCATTTCGTAGTAGATCAAGTCTT